CATGAAAACTATACCTTATAGTAGTGCTTGAGAGAGGAGTAAGTTAATTTTTAACTTCTAAAACATGAGAATAACCTTGCCTCGTCAGACCGAATGTCCTCCTAACTGAGCATCCTGTCTCCAACAGCAGCTGATGCTATGGGAAGAAAGTAAGAATTGGATGAGCACGTGGGAATGCTTCCTTCGAAAAGCCTCACAGCCTTCAGTGATTTGCAGTGTGAAATTTTTGAATGTATAGCTCGAGGTGGCTTTTTTGTTCTACGAATTTGTTTGACTGCTTTTGAACCCATATAAATGATCTGACAAGAGTGCATTCTCTTCTGTAGATGGGTAAGCATGTGTTTGTCAGAGAAGACAATGTCAAGGAAATGCCTTTTGCGTTTAAGCATAGTGAGATTTGTGAGGTTTGGCTCCTAGAGGAGTTAGTTGCCAAACTTTTGACCTGCCTCCAAGCAAAAACGTCATCTTGTGGTCATTAAGCAGCTGAGTCTACACTGTGTAGTTTATTATGCTGTTTGTAATAGAGTATGTAAGCAGCATGTTCTTTTTGAAGACGCTCTTTTGCGGTTCATGTGCGTGAAGTACTTTTTCCAAATCTTGTTTTTATTTGGAGATGGTGTCAAAACCATTTGTGTCTGTAGAAGGAAAGCGCTTGAAATCTCATACTTTTTTAGAATTCATCTGCTAATAAAAAAAGGTATTCCAAGTTGAAATCTGGAAGAGAATGTTAGTGACTGAAAAGACCTTACTAAGTTCCTTAAGGTAATACAAATGCATAGATGTAATGGCATTAGTGAGCAACAGTGCATTGAAAGAGGCATGTTCACTGTAACATGTTCATTAATCTTTTTGTTATGTCGTTAATAGCTTCGAATACCTGTTGCTGTGCTGCCACAAGACTACTTGTCATCAAATTATAGGAAAAATTACTTGTAAGTGGAAGAAGTGAGCCTACTTGGCTGTTTTACAAAGTTGATCCTTTCTTCTCCTTTTACTCCCTTCAGTTTTCCAAATTACTGCTATTTGTCTTTCTTTGTAGTTTATATTCTGAGCTAGCTGTGAGCTCATCTTACAGGAGGCCAAGAAATCTGCTTTTAATCTCAGTTTATTGGGATCTTGGATACTGTTTTCTGGTATTGTTTACAGCAAGACTCTCAGGTAGTACTTGTGAGTTACTGAGGTGGTGTCTAATATTAATCTTCCTCTGAAGTAAGCAGTAGGGCTGTCTGGTTCCTGAAATTCAGGAAGAGTATAGAAAGACACAAACCCAAATCCTTTTCATAAAACTGCAAACATCTTTTATGTAGGTCAAACAACATGGAGTGGTGTCGTACAAATTTACTATTGGTACATGATAGTGATCAGCTTGCATGCTTTCAGCAAAATTCAGTAGTGGATCTTTTCCTAGGCCATAAAATAAAATCTTATATATGATGTGTTATCTTTTTTTCCCCTTTAGTTAGTAGCTATGTGATTTTGTGGTGGCTTTTATAACTTGGTCTGTTTTAGCTCTGAAAGAATGCATGCAGCCTCCCATTTTACAAAGGCAAAATAAAGATAAGGCCACAAATCACCAAGAGACTGCATACCTACTGTGCTGTCTTAGTTTCCAAGCATTTCTGCAAATGTGAAAAGCGGTACAGTGATGCTGTTTGGGTTATTTCCTTCGCTACATGATCTTTCTCTTGTGCATGTGTATGCTCTGCAGTCATCTTCGTGCTTTGCTGCCAAGTCAGATTGACCTTTCTTATGGTCAGATTTTTATTTTCTTCATTGTTGTGCTGTCTGTCTGTTATAAGCAATCTCCCTACCATTGTAATCTTCTTGACTGCAGCCTGTCCTCTCCATATTCCAGTCTTGTCACTTTCTCTTAAAATCAGTGTGATACGTGCCATTTTAGAAAGACCTCTCAGCTCTGTAGCCCGCAGGTTTCTGATGCGTTTCATTAAATTCAACTGCTTTGCAAACACATGATGATATTATTACAGACTGATTAGATGAACTACACTTTGGTACCAAATGTGTTGTTTTCCTCTGGTTCTAATTTTGTCAGAATTTGTATGGTGCTTGAGGCCAAAATCTGACCAGTCTGACCTCATCCCACTGGTCTGTTGGCATTGGCCGGTCTCCGTTGGTACAAAACAGTCTCCTCTGTGACTTTTGCTGCTTTTCTCTATTGGGATTAAGTGATTTTTATCATACAGATATTCAGAATACAGCTCTAAGTGCTGGGTTTATTTCAAGTGTATTACCAGCTCAGGAGCTCCTTGTTCTTGTGCTTGTTGCTGCCCCTCTGCAGCCTCCTTTGTAGCTGTTATGACCCTTTGTGAGGCCACACGAACTGCAGTAGATTGGGGAACTGTTGCAGCTTAAAAATAACCTTGCAGAGAAAAATGTAAATACCTTTATTGCAATTCCTTGTTTTCAGGCTAGCAGAATTATAATGAAAAAAAGAAATTGCTGGTTACACAATGTTTTCTGCATAAGCTAAGAAGCTTAACATGATTGATCGTCAACCTTCCAACTCATGCGTTAGTCTTATAGTCCACTTTAGAACATGAAAAGCTGCATAATGCATTGCCTACTTACCACCAGTCTTTTTCTATACTGAACTTCAATGCAGTGTTATCTTAGGGTAGTATTCACTACCTGTAGACAGTCTACTACCTATCACAGTTTGGCTTTTACTGAAAGTAACATGCAGAGTCAGCAATGAAGTTTTACTGTTTAGTGAGTTCTGCGTAGCTGAAGTTTATTTGGGTTTTTTTGGTTTGTTTGTTTTTTGTTTTGCTGTTGTTTTGCATTTAGCACACAGCTGCATGCATCAGATTGTGGTAATCGGCTGGATTATTTTTTAGTGGCTGATGGGCATTTGATGCAGTTACTGTTTGTGGGATTTTTTTAACCATAAACTTCCCAGACATTAGCATTCCCTTGAATGTCTAGGAAGACGTGCAATATCAGATAGAAATTTATTTTTTGCAGGGACTAAAGCCTACACAGGAGCAATTATAATTCTTGCCTCATGGCATATAAACTGTGTGATAAATGTTGCTGTTATGTGCAATCCATGGGCATTTCTTCTTGTATATAAGTCACAGTTCTCACTTGTCTGTAATACAGACAAAATCTGTCTTATGGTACTTTTTCTGCAGTTTGTTATTTGGGTATGTAGTGACTTTCTAGGTCATTCTGCACTTGCTCATCTTGAGGGAATACTATTTTGTAGCTTCCTGGACTTGTAGCATTGTACATTCCTCGTATGCTTGCTTTCCAATGTACTGAGCTTTGATTACTTGATTCAGGATCGTACTCAAAAAAGAATCACAGTTGTGCATCCCAATTTGAGAAGGATTTTTGACTGAAAAGATGGGCATCATACCTTTGGAAGAGACACCTTGATGCTGTATACAAACTTACACAATACAAAAATAAACCTGGACACTTAGCAGTAGCTCTAGAAGTCCTGGATAGCTCCTGTCCATCGCTTAGCAGAGCTTCCCCACTTCCAGTGCATCAGTCTGTGGGATAGGATCTCTCAGGTGCATTAATCTAGCGAGCATGGATTGCTGTTAGGAAACTGTAGCAATTTGAGCATAGTTATTTTAATTTCCCTGATTAAAAGTGTTTACTGACTTTTTTTGCTTACTTTAAATAAACAAAATCAGTTTCTAATCAGAGAAGGCAAGAGATTTAAACTACCATAGTAACATTGCCCCTGGATAAAATACGTGATAGCATTAATCTGCAAATACCCTAATGGTGATGCTTGTGTATTCTGTGGTGATAGCCTTCTTGTCTGGACTAACAGGATGAAATATTGTCTGTGGTATCTTCTCTTCATCGGTTTCATTTTGGTGTAGTTTGTTTTTGTCTAAGTTGTGAAGATATCCTATATTTCTATTGTTTGGGCAAATAGTAGTTTGAAGTTAACTACTCATTATGTGCTTCCTAAGTCATGCTCTCATATGTTGGGTAAAACATCATAAGCCAATGTCCTGTACACAGTCAATGACTGAAGAGGCCTGACCAAAGCCTGAGCTCTGTGGTGAGGCTGTTTAAAGTGTCTTACGTTCCTTCCTCCTTATATTCCTTTGCATTTATACAGGCAATAGGGAAGACCATGTATTTTGTCAGAGCATGAGAACAGCAGCAGATTTATGTTGTCGGTTAAGTTCTTGTGTTTTGTGGCTTTTTAAAGCAGTGTATTTTGGATAATTTTAGGAGTAATTCAAGTTAACATCATTAATATTTGTCCTTGGATAAGTGTCTCCTGGGTTTGGCTAGGATAGGGTTAATTTTCACAGAAAGCTGGGGTGGGGCCCAGCCAGGCTATCTGACCCAAACTGGCCAAGGGGTCATGGTCAGTATGTAACTGGGGGAGCTGGCCCGTGGGGGCGAGATCTCGCTTGGGAGCGGACTGGATTCAGCTTCCAGGTGGTGAGCAATTGCATTGTGCATCACTTGCTTTGTATGCTCCTTTATTAGTATTATTGTTACTAATATTTTTTCTCTCCTATTAAGCTGTCTCTATCTCAACCCATGAGTTTTAACTTTTTCTTCCAATTCTCCTTACCAGCCCACTGTGGGGGCGGGAGTGAGCGAGCGGCCACATGGTGCTTAGTTACCAACACGGCCTAAACCGTGACAAAGTGCTTACAGGTATTCTGAATGAATGATTTCCTTTTAATGAGCTGGGAGTTAATACCTTACTGGTTACTGATTTAGGAATGTTTACCTTTAAATATATTTTGAAAATGCCTTTAAAGACCGTGGACCTGGCTGTGTGCATGTGTGATTGCAATCATTAGGAGTAGAGACACATCTCTGTACTTATAAACATAGTAGGAAATCACTTTCTTAGCAAGGCTGTAATCCTACAGTTTCAATCTCGGCAAAGATCAAGCAAGGGTTAACATTTCAAGGGTTTTTTTCTTCAGCTTCAGTTTCCAATGCAAGCTGTACTTGTACATTACTTATGAAAGCCTTTTTCATTTCAGTGACAGCTGATGAGCTATGGAAAGGAGCTTTGGCGGAGACTGGTGTGGGAGTAAAGAAAGGAAGAGGAAAGAGAAGGAAGAAAAAGCTAAAGAAGAACCTCAACAGAGGCCAGGAGATTGGTGAAGGTAGATTCACCAATAAGGGGCTGTAAACATGACTTGACCTCTTTGTGTATACTATTTCTTGATTTAATAAATTGACAAATTGCTGTTAATTTCTGTGGTGTCAGAACTGCTTGAGATATTTTTGTCTTTTAAAAAAATCCTGATATCGTTGGTTAGTGTTAATCTTGGGGTTTAAATTTAACTTCTGTATCATAAAATGTACTTGAAATATGTGAGAACCTTCCATTGTATTGCATTTTTCCGGTGTGTAGAGTTTCAGTCCTAATTTGGCATAAAATAGAATTTTTCTCTGTTATTTTTAAGGACGTTCTGGTTTCCTCTGGCCTGGTCTTAATGCTCCTGTGATACAAAATGGGAAAGTCCAGGCAGTAACCCAACGGAAAAAAGAAGAACAAGAGAGAATTCAGTCTGAAATTGTTCAGCACAGAGATACATGGGAGAAGAAAAGAAAAATGAAAGTTAAGAGAGAGGGAGGATGGAGTGGAAACATCTGGGGAGGCGTCATTCTGGATCCCCCTGACCCAGGTCCTAATGGAGGTAAGAAAACTGAGTATCTGTCTTAGTCTTACATAACCTTTCTGATAAGGGGGTTGGAGAAAGTGAGATCCAGACTTTTCCTGTGATTGAAGGTTGATTTTATACTTACCTTGTATGCCCATATGTGAACCAAAGGAGCTCAATCAAAGAACTTGTGTCTACACAAGTGAAATTTGTTAAATCCTTGCTTAGTTTAATAGAGCTGTTAGACTGTTTTATTACATTATAGACTGTATGACGCTATACGGTGTTATAGAATGCTGTATTGTGTTGTAGACTGTTACAGGAGTCTTGAAGTATGGAAATATTTTTCTGTGTTCAACATTAATTGTCTTGAGTATGAAATACAGCCATTTTTTAATAGTTTCTTGAAGGATGCTGTGGGATAAATCAAGCTTTGTTTTTCTAGCTCATATAGTGAAATATAGTTAAAGATGATGCAGTTTGAAGGTAGCTCATAGAAGTTCTTTATTTATTTGCTGCCTAGTTAAGTATCATAATGAAACTAGAGGCTCTATACATTTTTCTACAATGCTGTTACTAGACCACTAGAAATTCTATAGTAGCTTTGTTTAACATTTAGAAGCCTAATCCTTTTCAACAAATTAAATAAGAAAATGAGTTGTTACTCATATTCAGCTAAGTTTTTCTCTTGAAGCACTTAATGATGCTTATATGTTTATTGTCATCTTTCTCTAGGCTTTTGTAGTAAGATGAGCTAAGACAGACAGTTGATGGTTTCCAGCACCGTTGTTCAGACTTATTGCAGACTCCAGTCATTCTAACAGTTAAGCTTGTTCACGTTTTCAGAAGTCTCTTTGTCCAGAAATGTGTTCTCACAGTGCAGGCTTGGATCTTGGAACATCTGTTGCAGCAAGTCAATTTAAATGAGAGATTACGTGCATGGAATCACAACTATATTGCTGTCTGATCTTCTTGCATTCTCCTTTGCTCCCCAGTCTGCCGGGTGCTTTGTTTATTAATGTCTTTCTGTCTGTGAATGTTTTCTGGTTATTTTCTTAGGACAGTAATTAAAAATTCAGACATGCTCTGAACCAAACTGTAAGGCAGTGAGAGCATGTCTTTCCAGTGTGATCTAATGCCTTTGTCTATGTAGATGGAAGCAATGCTAGCATTTTTCTAACTTTCTGCTTTATAAACCCATGCCATTGTCGCGATATACTGCTTCTCCGTGCCCTTATTGGGCTTTCCATTCGGGTAGCTGGTATAGATGATTTTGTAGCTTATGTTGCTGTAGTGTCTAAGATACGGTGTTTCCTCCGGATTTACCTTGTGGATTTAAAGAGAGCTTTGCCTGCCAATCTCTTTGAGTATTTTTTCATTGTCTTCCATTTTAAGAACAATGAATTATTTTTTAATATCAGTGTAATTTTGTATTAATGTAGTGTGCAAGTGAAAAATTTTCAATATTTACTTCCCTGTGTTTCGTTTTACTACCTTGAGAGCAAATATTCCATGGAAGGCAGTGATGTGACAATGGAGTTGGCAGTCTGTCACCAAATCTTACAACTGACAAATAGGAGATTTCAGAAATTAATGAATTGTCCCAAATTCCCAAAAAGTCAGTGGTTGAATATAGAGAAAGTCTAGAAAATTTCATTACTCTAGTTTTACACTTTGAATACAAGACTATGTTGGTTTTAAATTCAAATAGATTTTCAGATAGTTTATTCCATTAAAAGATGTGGCAGCTGTTGCAAACAACACTTATGCATGTGTGAATTTTACCTTTCGGTATTTTCCTTGATTTTGCTTTTGGCTGATACTGTTGCTCTTGATTACTTGCATTCAAGTTGGCTGACTGGAAGCTGTAGTAGTCAGGTCAAGTTCTGTCAAAAAGAGGAAACGGTGCTACAGTCAAAATGGGAAAATGAAGCTGTCATCTTGTATTATAACTGTGCTTGAGTAAAAACAGTTTCTGATTAGTATACACTAATTTCCTTATAATCTGTTAAAACTGCAGGGATTTTTACATCCCCATAGTTCTTTTGGCATCTTTCTATTCAGAGAATTAATGAGGAGATTTAGTGCAGGAGAACTGAGACATTGACTGTGTGCAAAGCACTGTCAAGGTGGTGGGAGGTAGAGACCTGAAAGTACCAAACCCAATGAATCTTTTGTCCTGAGGCTATGGTGTGGCTGGATTCCCAGGTATCTGAACAAGCGTGAATTCTCATTGAGACCCTGCAGTTCAGCCCTTTCTAGTATTTTGGTATTAGATTCTCTGTTAGCAGACAGAGGTTGAGCATATGCTTCAGAGGTTCCCTTCAGCAGCGTTCAAAACCGGTACAGAAAACCTCATTGTTGTTTGTTTGAAATTGACCAGTAGTGTTAAGAACCAAACTCATAACTGGTGACATATTGTGATTTTATAGGCTTCATTATTTCAGGGGGATCTTCTTCCACTACACTTTTACTTGCTGTGCTAGCTATGAGTAGAGAAAGAACAGTATTTTTCAGTTGGGGATAAAATTGGTTTTCTTCCAAGTTTACAGTGCTTCTATGCAACTGAAGAGGCTTCAGAGAGGGAACAGAGTGCCTGTTGGCATTCGTACCTTTACTCTGAACTAGAACTCTACTTCTTGTAGACTAACACATCTCTAAATTGTGCCCAGATGATCATGTTTATAATCATCGTGGAGGTTATGTGTAAATGATAAAGCAATGTTTGGTGAAGGTATGAGTCCCCAGTTCTTCACCATTATACTGTTTTCAGCTCCCAAACCTTTCTCCAGAATCTCACTGTGACTACATCAAATAAAGTAAGTGTTAAGTGCTTTAATTAACACTGGTCATCTATGTTATACTGAAGTGCTCTTGTTCATGAGATAAACTGGAAAAGCAGGAGGTTGGAAGGATCTCTTACCTATTCTGCTTCTTATACGAAGATGTTGCATTTTACTCTGTTTTCCGTTGTTTTCAAAGTCAGTAGAGTTTTTGGGTTTTTTTTCCCACAACCAAGCTGATAATGGGATACTCCTTGTGGAAAATGGGTCTGTACTAAAAATACAGATCAACTGTAAGTATGCTATCAGTTGCATGAAAGGAAACAAATATATTTGCAATTTCTATTCAGGTGTTTGTGTGTTCATCACGTTTTGAAACAGAAACCCAGTGAATATGGAGTCTTTTTGGCGCTGTCCATGATTTGCAGCATTTTTGCCTGCCTCTGTAAAATGAATTTTGAGAAATTGTGGTGGAACTGCTGAAAACCAAGCCCAAGGGATTTGCTTGCTGACTTTTCTTACAGGAGTGTCAGGATAAAGGTCTGTGGATAAGATGTGACTGAGCTGCTGTTTACATGGTTTTGTGCTCTCGTGTGATCCCGGATCAGGGATATCACCAGGGCACT